CCACACAGCCACACAGCCACACAGCCACACACCCACCAGCCAATACTTTTACCCCGCTGCCTCAGCGACCGCTGTTTCCACTGACCGCCGTGCGCTCGGGGTGGCGCAGATCTTGAACTGCGTGCTGAGCCTGCAGAAGCTGGAGCTGCTGCCGGCCCTGGCGGACATGCACCAGCAGGTGGCCGGCGAGCAGCCCTCCCCGTCTCCCGCCGCCCGCCGGCAGAAGCAGAAGCCCAGCTCGGGCCTCCTCTCCAGCTTCACCTCCGTCTGGTTCTCCGACAACACACCCGTACGCCCCCGCCCCCGCCCCCTTCCTTTCGCTTGTCCTTCCTTGTCGGTGCACATCCGCGCGTGTCGGTGTCTCCCCTAACCGGAGAGATACGTCTCTCTCTATCTCTCACGCACACGCACGCACACGCACGCGCACGACACACACAACTAACTACACACGACACACACACGCACACGACACACAACCAACTACACACGACACGCACACACGACCAACGACACACAGGACGAGCCCTCCGCGGAGGACCTGGAAGCGGAGAAGGAGACCGTGCAGTGCATCAACCAATGCAACCTGCGCGCCATCATCCTCGACACCAAGTGCGCACTTTCCGCCTCCACTGCACATCCTCCCGCCGCCGCCGCCTTGCCCGAGCAGCGCATGCAGCCTCACTCTCTTCTTCGTTCTTCTTCGTTCTTCCATGGGCTCCTTCTCACCGCATCGCGTCTCTCGCGCGCGTCCGTTGGGGGGGGGTGGGGTGGGTGGGTGCGCCACAGGAACCTGCAGGCGGATTCGCTGATCTACCTGCTCAAGGCCCTCATCCTGGCCTCGGTGCGTCCCAAGGAGAAGGAGGCCGTGCCCTTCGACGAAAAGGTTGGCCCCCAAACTTCCACTCGCACCTCGGCACCTTGGCTTGGGGGTGGGCCAGCATCCCCCCCGTACGACCCACGTGCTGACGCGCAAATCTCCGATCATATGGCTCGTTCGTGTGCCGCCGCCGCCGCCGCCGCCAGCTGGCCATCTTCTGCCTGGACCTGGTGACGGCCATCACCTACCTCAACCAGGAGCGGATCATCTTCCTCTGGTACCGTGCGCGCGCGCGCGTAATATCTCGGCAGAAGCAGCAGCAGCTTCGTCGTCGTCGTCGTCGTCGTCGTCATGGCTGTGCGCACCTGCGTTTCCGTGACTAACGCATACATCGTGCTCGTGCGCGTGTGCCTTGCGGCAGGGTGCTGGTCTACGAACACTTCGCGGGCCTCCTGGGCGGCGCCACCTCCGCCACGTTCCTCACCGAGCGCGCCGTGTCCAACCTCCTCTTCCTCGTGCGTGTTCCCTTCCCCTCTCCTCTCCTCCTCTCTCTCTCGACCGAGCCCCCCCCCCCACACCTCACCTCTCGTTGGCTGCGTCGCCCGCACACAACAGTGCCAAAAGTTGGGAGGGTCGGACTTTGGGGAGCAGCTCATCAAGTCGCTGCAGCTGCTGCTCAAGCTCAACCCCGCTGTCACCGCGTCGCTGGCCGACCTCATCACGACCGGCACCAGCCGCATCCTCCACGCCCACCCTCGCCTCCTCAGGTACGCCCCCCCCCTCTCCCCCTCTCCCCCGGTCTCCTCTCCTCTCCTCTCCTTGCCCATCTACTATAGTACGTACCGACGTTGCCGATGACTGGCTGACATCCGTGCGTGCCGCCCGCATTGCTGCCTGCTTTGCGCAATGGCTTCCTGCCCGGTAGGTCGCCGGTGGCGTGGCCCACGCTGCTGTCGCTGATCCGGTTCTCGACGGACTACCCGAACAGCTCCATCGTGGCCTTCAAGGCCCTCAACGGCCTCATCCTCGCCGACAAGGCCCTTGCCGTGCGTGCCCCCCTCCTGTGCCATTGTTCCTTTTCTAACCCCCCCCTCTCTTTTTTCCCCACCCGCTGCGTCTGCTGCTGTGCTCCTGTCTGTGGTCATTTCCGACTGCGCGCGTAGCCGGAGCAGCGGCTCATCATCACCGACAACTTCTTCTCCGTGTTCAACACCATCAAGGCCTTCGCCCGCAGCAAGGCCTGCCCGTACCGCCTCCTCCGCTGTCCCCCCGTGCAACCCCCTCCCCCCATGCTCACCACGTTAGGCCGGTTGTTGGCCCGGTTCTCTCCTCTTTTTCTCTTCGCTCTTCTCTTGCTCGGTGGGTGGTGGGTGGTGGCTGCTGCTGGTGGCTGGTGGGTGGTGGTAGGCCCTCGCTGGCGATTGAGGCGATGGAGTGCCTCTACAGCCTCTTCTGCCGCCTTCCGGACGTGGTGGAGCTCGTGCCCATGGCCACCATCCACGAGGAGAGCAAACACACCGGCGCCACGCCGCCCCCCGCCAACGAGGCCGAAGCCCGCGCTCGTACACGTTCACCCCCACCCCACCCACTATTCTTCCCCGTCTCATGTGGGAGCTGGGCGTCGTGCTGATGGCGCCCGCGTGCTCGTGTGTGGTGTGTGTGTGTGTGTGGTGCAGTGTGGGGCTGGAGCCGATACTGGGTGCCCGCCTTGCAGGACGTGGGCGAGATCTGCAAGGAACCTCGCCTCGAGGTGCGTGCACCCCCCCTCGGCCTTTATATCTCTCGGGAGAGGGGAGGGCCACTACCACCACCGCTACCGCTACCACCACCGCTACCACCACCACCACCACCACCACCACCACCACCACCACCACCACCACCACCACCACTACGGCGGGGCTGCTCACTGTGCGCACTCTGGCGGTGCTGGTACTGGATGGGTCGGGTGGGTGCAGGTGCGCCACTACGCGATCGTGATACTGCAGCGCGCCCTGCTGTCGCCGGCCCTGGCACGCGCGCCCCCGCAGGCCTGCTTTTCCTGCTTCCACCAGGCACGCCCCCTTTCCTCCGCCTCCGCACGTGAGCGGGAGGGCCTGACGACGGGTGGGCGGGCGGTACCGGATACCGGGCGGTGTGTGTGTGTGTATGTGTGTGTGTGTCTATGCAGGTGATATTCCCGCTGCTCAAGGAGCTGCTGGTCCCGCGCCCGACGGCCCGCGCCGAAGCGGCCGCACTCGAGGAGACCCGGCAGCGCGCGTCGGCCCTCGCCTCCAAGATATTCTTGCAGTGCGCAGCCCCTCCCCATCGATTCACTCGTCTGCGGGCTCCCGGGTGTGGGTCATGAAGGTACCCAATGTGGAAGGTAACGCCATGTAATGCATGGGTGCCCCCAGGTACATGAGCAACATCATGGGCAGCGATGGCTTCGAGGACCTCTGGATGCTGCTCCTGGACTACACGGAGCAGTACATGAATACCAACTCGGAGCTGCTGGTACGCCCCCCCTCCCCCTTCCATCTCCGCCCGCCCGCCCGTCGCGACGATGATGACGACGACGGGTCTTTGCCTTACATCCTCATCCGTCTGCTGGGGGGGGCGGCTGCTGCACTACTATGCACGCAGGCCGAAGCCGTGACTGAGTCGCTCAAGAACACGCTGCTGGTCATGTCCGCCTCCAACGTCCTCCAGCCTTCCCGTAACCCCCCCCCTCCTCCTCCCTCGCCCCAAATCCCCTCCTGTCGTGCCGCGACCTCCCTCCTCCGTGCTGCTGCTGCTGCTGCGTGGTGGCTGCGTGGCGCTCACGTGGCTGCTGCTGCTGGTGGCTGGTGCAACTCTGCAGAGGGCCACGGGCAGCAGCAGCAGCAGCAGGAGGAGGGCATCTGGGAGAAGACCTGGCGCAAGATCGACGCCTTCTGCCCCAGCGTCAAGCACGAGTTCCACACCGTCCTGGCCAAGGTACCCCGCTCCGCCTAAGCCCCTCCTTCACGACCGACTGCAGCTTGCCTCACCCCCCCCCCTCCTCTCCCTCGATCGACGCCACCGGTCGGCAGACAAATCCACCACCGGATGCGGCGCCTGCCTCCACCGCCTCGTCGTCGGTCGGCGAGGTTACCGCGACCCCACAGCAGAGCGCGGAGCACCCGCAACAGCCCTGATGCATGGCCGGCCTGGCCTGGCCTGCCTGGTTCCTTCCGATGTCACCACCTCCCCCCCCTTCCACGTGACCGCCGGAGGCGCCTTTTCCGCCACCAAGAAGGCACCATTCTTCTTTTTCAGAGCCCCTCAACAAAAGTTCGTTTTTATTTTTATTCGTTTTTCCAGACCTCCTCTATTTGTACAACAACAATCCCAGGGATGCGCGCCTGGGGTCCACCTGAGTGGCCTCTCCCTCACGGATGTGGCTATCTCACGCGCTCGTGCCGACTCTCTCTCGGGAGGAGATCATTTGCGGATCATTTGCTACTCTACTCCTGCTTGCGGTCCTTGAAGAGTTCGTAGCGCTTCTTGAGGAGGGTGAAGACGAGGCGTCCCTTGTCGTCCTTGGTGGCGAAGAGGGTGACCTTCTTCTGGCCGCGCGCGAGCTCCACGCTGTAGCCCTCGCCCTCCCGCGAGCTCAGGTGGATGTTCTCGATCTTGGCAATGTCCTCGCCCGTGACCAGGTCCTTGATGTTGGTCATCCTCTTCACCAGGGCCGCCCGGCTCGACTCGCCCACCATGAGCAGCGCGCTCTGGTTGGCGAACATGACCTCGCCGAAGGCATCCGTCAGCAGCACCGCCACGGGCAGCGCGTCGAGCATCTTGGCCTTGGCCTTGGACACGACGCTCTTCTTCTTGCGCGGCCTCGCCACCTTGAGGCACACGGTGCCGCCCTCGGCCAGCAGGATGGCCGCCTCCACATCGTCGTCCTCCTTGACCTGGTTCTCCTCGTCGTCCTCCACGAACGAAATGTCCATCGGACGACCGAACGTGCGCTCTGCTCCGGCCCCCCGTCACCCACCAGCCCACCAGCCCACGACACCACGACAACACCTCCAGTGAGCGGGCCAAACCATAGCAAGTGTACTTTGGGGATCGGGAGACGAAGAACAACAACAACCAACAAGTAGAAGAAGAATCGCACCGATCTTCTTGTTGAGCTCCTTGTAGGTGATGAGCCGCTTGATGAGGAAGATGACCGGCTCGTAGCCCTCCACATAGCATTTGACCGGCATCATGTAGTCCCCCTGCGTCTGCTCCATGTTCCAGAAATCCGGCACCTCGTCGCTCACGTCATCGTGCGCTGCCATGTAACCACCCACCGACCACGACCGCCACGGGGGTTTCGCCCAAAGGTGAGACAGCGGCGCACGAGCAGGCGTAGTAGTAGTCTTGGGTGTGGGGTGGGAGGTCCTCCTACTGGGGGCGTGGTAGTCGGGATGGCCGGCCTTCTCCTTCATCTTCTTGGCGGTGTGCTGGACCACCTCCTGGCCGTTCTGCTGCAGCTCGCTGACCAGCTGCCAGATCTGGGCCTTCTCCTTCTTGGTCATCTCCATGCCCACCTTGGCGAATAGGTCCTCCCGCTCCATCTCCAGCAGCCGCGCCCCCGTGATGCCCTGCACCACGAACGCCCGCCCGAACTGGCCGAGCACGTTGGCCTGCAACCACCTATTGATCGATCGATTGAAGTTGGTGGGTTGGTTTGGTTTGGTTTGGTTTGGTTGGTCTGTCGCTTCCCCAATTGTGAAACATGTGGTAGTAGTGGTAGAGGTGTTCGTACATGGCCACCTCGGGGGGCGACCAGGTGCTGGTCTCTCGGGAGGCAAAGTCCTTGAGGAGGGTGACATCCTTCTGGATGGCGATGAAGTGTGAGACGGGTCCTTCCTTCTTGCCCTTCTTGTGCACCGGCAGGATCCTGGCCCGAAAAAAAAACAACTTCGTTTAGCAAAAGAAAAAGAACTGAATTGAGTAGAAAAGAAAAAGAAATGAAAAAGGTTCGGTGCCAGGACTTCACCTGAAGCGGTTCCAGAAGGCCGTGCCATCGCGCCGGTAGTTGAGGATCTCCACGTCGAGGCTCTCGCCGCCCTTCACTGCCGCTCGGATCTTGCCCACCGTGGCCGGGTCCGTGTAGTCTGTTCCCCCCCCCCGAACGGGTCAGGTTCTCCTTCTCTCCCCCCAATTTGGACTGACA